GCCGGCCGGCGGCGCGGTCCACACCTTGCCAAACGCCAGCCGCGCTCACGGTCCCCCCGAGACAGGAAAGCGTTACTCTCATTCCCGTTTCTCAGACAAGGACACCGAGGCCCAGAGATGTTAAGGAACTGGGCCTCCCAGATAGAAAAGTGGGGTGAAGACCTCACAGCCCTGGGCGAGCGCTGGTGCTTTCCCCCGTCCCACAGCACCCCCAGTAGGAGAGGGCGGGATGGACCCAGGCCCGGGGACACGGAGAGCTGGGGTCGGAGGCGCTGGGGCAGGTGGGTCTCACGCGCCGCCCCGCCCCGGCCGCAGGGAGCCTCGTCCAGTCTGGTGGTCAAGTTCGCCGACACTGACAAGGAGCGCACGATGCGGCGAATGCAGCAGATGGCTGGCCAGATGGGCATGTTCAACCCCATGGCCATCCCATTCGGGGCCTACGGCGCTTACGCTCAAGCAGTAAGTGGGGGCGCAGCTGGGCGTGGTTCTGGAGCTTAGTTCCCTGGGAGGCCCGGAGAGCAGGGACACCTAACCTAAAGTGCTGTCCCAGCCTCAGCAGTGAGGAGGGGCCGGGGATGAACCCAGAGAATGTAACCTCAGAAGGAGTTAAGAGAAGGCTGGTCCGGGTGGGGTGGCTGCCAGGACGAGGTGCGTTGCCATTTTGATTCTTGAGGGGAGGAGGAGAGAAAACCCCTGGGCAGGGCAAGGTGGGTTACCCTGAGCGCCCCGCCCCCTCAGCCAAATCAACGTGGAGCTCTAGGAAGCACAGATGGGGGAAGAGGAGGTTCAGATTTTGTTTGTGACTGCCCCACCCCTGCCCCCAGCCCACTCATGGAAGGGCGTCCTCAAGCCTTCTGGTCATTCCTGATAGGGGCCCTGTGAGGTGCCCCAAAGCCCTCCAACCCTCACTTCCCTGCAGTCTCCCCAGGCCCTGCCTCTGGCCACCACCACCTTCTTTCTTTCACACTGGGGTCCACCCTGCTAGCATCTCCCTGAGCCACCTCCAGATTTGTAACCACAACCCCCACATGGGTGGCACTGAGGTAGGCCAGGTTCTAACTCTAAAACTGCAAGCCCACCTCACTTCCTCAGCAGCTTCCAGCCTCGGCAGCTTTCCATGCCCTCCCCATCCTCACTCACCTTTGGGACAACATTGGTGTGCCTGGGGTTCTGGTCATGATTCTCCAGTCACTTCTGCCCAGAAGTCTCCATATTAAGACCATTTGGGACAGAAATCTGTTAATTCTGCAGAAGTTCATCCAGCATGTCTCTAGCACTTTGGGTGTCATCTTCCCATGAACGACAGATCCTACACAGGGCTGACCAGTACTCATGGAGCCAGTCCCTCCTGCATCCTCTACAACAACTTTAGAGCCCCAAAGACCTTACCATTACTTTTGAGTACAGTCATCTCTCAGGGAGGTGGCCTCTGGTAGCTACTGAGGACAAGGGCAGGAACGGGGGAGGCATCAGGTTCTCTGAGGGAAGAGGGGGAGGAGACTGTCTGGGCCCTGGGGCTCAGGGCCTGGGAGGTTGGACTACAGGAGCTGAGCCCCTGGTGGGGAGGGTGGCCCCCTGGAAGCACGTGATATTTTTTCCACTCCCTCTGCCCCAGCTGATGCAGCAGCAAGCGGCCCTCATGGCATCAGTCGCACAGGGTGGCTACCTGAACCCCATGGCTGCCTTCGCTGCCGCCCAGATGCAGCAGATGGCAGCCCTCAACATGAATGGCCTTGCGGCCGCACCTATGACCCCAACCTCAGGTGAGCCAGCAGGTGCCAACACAGGGCCTGGCCCAGTGGGAGAGCAGTTGGGCCCAGGCTGGGGCCTAATTTCAGCTACCAATGGACCATCCTGTGGCAATAGCACATGGTATCTGGGCCCAAGCAGGCCTTGTCCTCTGGCAGTTTGTCTCAAAAATGTTCTAGTACCTGGGGACCCAAGGGAAGATGGGATGTGGGCCCTGTGCAGTTTATGATATGATTTCAGGATGGTAAGAATTTTCTCTCAAGTTGTTTAGCCATATCAGGAAACAACTCATCTTGATGTCTGTTAATAATAGATATCTGGAAGGAAACTGACATGAAAACATCTCCCTTTGAGGCCGGCCCGTGGCTCACTCGGTAGAGTGCGGTGCTGATAACACCAAGGCCACGGGTTCAGATCCTATATAGGGATGGCCGGTTCGCTCACTGGCTGAGCGTGGTGCTGACAACACCAAGCCAAGGGTTGAGATCCCCTTACCGGTCATCTTTAAAAAAAAAAAAAAAAAAAAAATCTCCCTTTGAGCTCTGAAGGGAGAAGAACTCTGCTCATCCTGTAGCCTTGTTTTGTCCCTGGCCCAAGCACTGAAGAAGCCTCCTTTTTCACTTTCATTTAACACAACTAGACTCACTAGCTTTTTCCAAGACAACTACACAACAAGCTACAGAGAACCACAAGTTATCAAAGGACAAGGGAGTTGAAAACAGCCCAGCTCACAAAGGATGTTTTTGATTGGATCTTGGCTACTATCTAGTCCAGTGATTCTCAATTGGTGCAGCTTTGCCCCTAGGACATCTGGCAATGTTAGGAGATATTTTTGATTGTCTCACTAGAGGTGGGGTAGGGGAGGAATGCTGCCGTAACCTAGTGGGCAGAGGCCAGGGATTGTCACTAAACATCCTACAGTGCACAGAACAGCTCTCCACTTCAAGGAATATCTGGCCTCAAATGACAATAGTGTCAAAGGTGAGAAACCCTAGTCTAGTTCCAGGGGCTAGTCCAACACCCAGGTTCGCATTCACCAAGCTTCCTTGGTTTTCTGTACTCATAGCAGCAAACTTCTTGACATCCAGGAGCTGTTTCTTTCCCAGCTCAAAGCCACAAAAACTATCATCTCTTGAACTCTACCCCACAGCTCTGATCCCCAACTTCAGGGACACTCATGGGCCCAGGCAGTGGGCCAGCCTCTGGTCCTTGTTCTCAGAGGGACTCTGCTTCCTACATGAAGAGGAAGGCCCTTTCTAGCCTCTGGGCCCTCAGTACAATCACTGTGCCATACACATCTTGGGTTCCACCCATCTGGCATAGGGAAGGCACAGAGCATTGTCATCTGCCACAAACTTTATCATCACCACCATGACCACTACCACTGCTTCAGCTGGAGGAGGCCAAGGTGTCTACTTGTGTATGACATAGGACCAAGTTGGAATTCTGACTGAATCCTCAGTGCAAGGGAACGCCAGAATTAAGACGTCCTCTACCTGAGCAGCAAAACTTCTTCCTGAGGAGGCAGATCAGCCCCTCAAGGACCAAACAAGGACCAGCCTATTCTGACTCAGCTAAAGTGAGCAAGAGCCATTGAAAAAGACTGAAGGAAGACCAAGTGTGGTTAAAGTCAAGAGCATTGAGAATAGCTTGTATGCTGTAGGTCCAAGGGTGAGCTGTCAGTGGTCAGAGAAGTCTTCATAGACTAGGTAGGACTTGGAATCTGCCTTGGAAAATGGATACAATTGAGATGGGTGGAACCAAGACTAAGCTGTTATGTGAGATCCAAGTCAAATTCCAAGCCCTTGGAGCCAGCAGCATAGAGATTTATGAGTTGGCCCTCCTCACTTTTTTCTGCTTGCCTCCCTCCTCCTCCACCCCTGTACCTCCCTGAAACCAGGTGGCAGCACCCCTCCGGGCATCACTGCACCAGCCGTGCCTAGCATCCCATCCCCCATTGGGGTGAATGGCTTCACCGGCCTTCCCCCACAGGCCAATGGGCAACCTGCTGCTGAAGCTGTGTTCGCCAATGGCATCCACCCCTACCCAGGTAAGCACCTCTGGTAGCCCTTTCTTCCCCATGCAACACACTCCTCATCCATCTGTCCCTGACCTTGCTTTTATAACAAGGAACATGTGGCTCCTGCCCTCAGTGCATTCCTTGGTGGAACCCCAAATGTGATCAGGGAGGGCCATCTTTCTGTCCTCCAGGGAGCCCATGGTGGGAGAGAAGAGACCAAAATCCCAGCCTTGGGGAGATGTCAGTCTGATCAGAGAGGGAGAGCGCTTTCCAGGGACTCCCTCAGGTAAGACAAGAGACTGGATGCAGTTGTACAGCCAGGCAGAGAGGCTAGTACCTGCCAGTTAATTGAGTGTGAATTTGACCTATAAGAAGTAAGGGGATAAAAACTAAAAGAATAATCAGACTTAGTGTTAAGAAGGAAAAGACTCTTTGGGGAAGGAAGTGGAGGTGTACTGATTGGCAGTCTAGCTAGTACCTACCAGTCTGGTCCCTTGTTGCACACAAAATCCTGTCAGCACCCTGGACAGCGGGTCAGGACTTCGGACAGTTCCTGCGCTTATATTTTATGAATTCTGGAACACAGGAAGATCCAGGAGGCCTGTTCCTGATTAACTTTGTTCCTCTCAAACTTAGCAGTTCTCATGTCATGAGAGTGTCCAGTTGACCTGAAGCAGCTTTTCTCTCTGGTCTGGAGGATGGATTCACAACAGGGTGGGAAAGGTGGGCCCAAAGCCCTAGATGGAGTAGACTAGCAAGGGCAAGCGATAGAGACATGAAGAGTGCTGCCCCTTCCTGGAGGACAGAGGATGAGGTTAAAGGTCCCCATAAGTATTAGTAAGTGCCACTCTGTGCTGGATGAAAGGGGGCCTCAGAAGGAGGGCAGGACGTGGGCCCATCCCTTGGAGGTCAAAGTCCAGTCTGGAAGACAATATACATCTACAGAATGATGAGACAATAGGGCAGAATGAAGTTTGATCAAGAGTGAATGTTCTCAGAGTCAAGATGCAAAAGGATTAAATGAAGAAAGAGTTCTGTGGCTGATGGAGCCCAAAAGAGCCACCCTGACGAAGAGGCTCAGGTTGGACTTTAACAGATAGGGAGGAATTGGAGAGGTGAGGATGAACAAGGAGCACTCTCCTGTGGAGGGGGCCTGCCTGGCAGGAGCGGGGGGTGGTAAGGAAGTTGGCTCAACAGGGCAGAGGAGGCCAGCGCAAGGTAGATCAGCAGGAGGGGCACAGTCATGCTCCCCACTCTGGGTACCCATCAAAATCTACTGTGGCACTTTATAAAATCCCAGAAGCCCAGAGACTCTGATTTCACTGTGTCAAATGAGGCCCAGACATCTGTAGTATATAAAAGTTCCACCAGCAGCAGAGTGCAAGGTCACTGTGCTACAGGGAAAGAGAAGGAGAATTTCCTACTTTGAACTTGGAGTTGTCCTTGATCCTATTCCAATGCTTGCCATACAACACACCCCTCAGTCCACAGAGAAGAGGTCTAGAGAGAGAATAGTAGAGCCCAGAAGATCTGGAGTGTCATTTAAGGATAAAGACTTCAGACTAGGGCTGGCCAATTAGCCCAGTTGGTTAGAGCATGGTTTTATAACACCAAAGTCAAGGGTTCAGATCCCTCTACTGGCCAGACACCAAAAAAATAAGAAATAAAAAAAAAAAAGACTCCAGGCTGGTAGGAGTGGCAGGGGAGGGGCTTGGCAGCTGGAAGTGGAAGAGGCTCCACCAATTTCAGGCTCGTGGGCTGAGTGATGCCATCCCCCGCACACTGGGTAGCTTCATCCCCCACTCCTCCTTGTCCACAAGCCCATCTGGATCTCTGGATTCTAACAAACCTGTTCCTTCCCCACCCCAATCAGCGTCTGTGAGCTATTTTCCTCATGGAATTTGGAAGTGTTTCTTTCCCCAATTTGTAACAATCTGCCACATCTCATAAACAATTCCATGCCAGAGCAGGAGGGAGGGATGGAGGGAAGGAAAGAAGTAGTACATTAAAAAAATTAATTTACCATCTTTAAATGCGGAGTTTGGAGCCACTGTAATGAGCGAGATCCTTCAAAATGTTCACTCTTTGGCAGTTACTAATGAGGTCGTTAAGCAGAGATGTGGAGAGGGGTCTCGCAAATGCTTTTCTCCACTTCCTAGCCTCAGGTAGCTTCTCTGTTCTCCCTCGTGCTCATAGAGACTATGTTGGAAGCACACAGTGTGGCCATTATAGCCACATACACCCTGGAAGGGGTGGCTGCACAAACATTAAAGACGTTCATTCATTCCTTCAGTTGCACTATTGGCTGAGCATTTACTGTTTCTGACACTGTGCTGGAGGGGCTCCGTGTAGGTTGTATGGGTTGTTTTGCACGAGGGCACCAAACTATGTACCCAGAGGAAGGGGCACCCTTTTCTAATTTGCATAAAGGCACTGAATGGGTGAGCAGCTGGGAAGACCAAGAGGACAAGCCAGACCTGGCTCGTCCTCTAGAGAGGTTAGAGGCTGGCTGAGGGGACAGACAGAGGGAAAAGGAGGAAGGAGGAGTCCATCCTGCCAAGCACATCCCAAATGGGAACTCTTGGCTCCAGTCTCTACCATGGGGGCAACATAGGGATGAGGTGTTGGACTGGGACAGCCCTGGGCAGGGAGGAGCCTGCACTGTGACCCATCTTCAGCTTCCCCTCCTGAGCAGAGCCCCCATGGGCCCAGCTTCCCTGCCGCACCCCAGTTCCTGTGGGGTATCAACCCGCCACCCGCTGACTCTAGAGACCTCTGCCTCAGGCTTTTCCCTGGGCTCCCCTGAGGTCTGGGTGCTGTTTTTCTGATGGAATTTTACTGAGAGACTCAGAAACAAGCTCAGAAAGGGGTCTGCAGACTCTCCCTGTCCAAATGCCCCAAAGCCTGGAACAGCCAGTTAGCTTGTCTGGCCTGGGTTGATGGGCAGCTATGCCACCCACCACCCGCTGTTATCCAGTTTGCCCATACTGGGGCTGGACCCTCCCTCTGGGTGAGCATCTGTCTCCATTCACCTTCCTGGGACTCCAAACCCAGCCCACTCCTGCTTCAGTCATCAGTGGCCTTGGTCACCAAAGACAGCACCTGCTGCTGGTCCATGCTTCGGCCTTTGCCCACAGCTCCTGCAGAGAAGCACAGGCAACAGAGGTGAACCATGCCCTTTCCCCAGTCTAGCTTCCCCAAGTATCCTGTTAAAATATCAGTTTGAGGGCCCTCTCCTCACACTGGGCAGTAGACATCCCAGAGTCACAGTCAAAAGGTGGGAAGCTGGCCCTTGACCTTCTGGTTCCTCGGTTTCTGTGGGCCACACCCCTCTCCCAGCTCATCAGGCAGACCTCATATGTGTGGCCAGTCCCTGCTGAGAGCATCTCAGCCATGGCCTAGGAGAGAAAGACCTCTGTGCCTTGTGAAAATGCCCTAGGAATGAGGGAGGGCTCCTCTGCATGAGCAGGAGCGGTGGCTTAGGAGGACAGAGTGGCAGGGGAAGGTTTCCAGGCCCTTTCTGTCACCCAGCCAGGATCTGCCAGGCTGTTCCTTCATCCACTGTCCCTGACTTCTGCTGAGGATCAGTGGGAATGAGCCCACCCTCCTGACAGCCTCCAGCCCCTCACTCGCTTCCCCACTGCTCTTCTCCAGGGCTGGGTCCCTCATGTGTCTTGCCACCAAACCCCGATGGCTGAGCCCCCCTCTGCCTCACCTCCACAGACTTTCACAGTCCCCTGCATGAACCCCCCCATCTCACCCCTACTCCAGGCTGGCTAAAGCCTGCATCACCCGGCTGCATGTGTAATCCTGTACCCTACTAAGGGCCCTGGACTGGGGAAGGATCCAGTAGAATCCAGGCACTCAGAGTTCCTGTCTCAGACACCCCGTTCCAGAGCAGAGCCTGCCGTGGCTATAAAGGGCTGTGCAGGCACAGCTTCATCCCCCTGGGTGTGGTGGGGGAGGGGCGGGTTTCGGTGGACACCACTGACCTCTGTCCCCTTGGCTCCCCTGCAGCGCAGAGCCCCACCGCCGCGGACCCCCTGCAGCAGGCCTACGCGGGAGTGCAGCAGTACGCAGGTCGTTAGTATCCGCGCGTCCCCACGGCTCCTTCCCTGGCTATATTCATCTCTCCACGCCTGTGACACCAGCGCCCCCTCCCCAGGCCAGACCTGGGCCTAGCACTGCGTGGGGTGGGGAGAAGGAGGGGCAGGAGCTGTGGTGGCAGGAGGGAGGGCTGAATTGGCAGAGATCCCCCTCTGGGCTGCTCCCTGTCTGCTGGTCCCCTAGCTCAGTGCCCCTGTGGTGGTGGGTGGGCAGAGCTTGAGACGAGATGGCAAGCCCAGCTGAAGCCTCACTCATCTGTGAGGCCCGGTTTCCCTTCCCCATGGTGCTGCCAAGGCCAGTGTGCCCAAGAGCACAAGCCACATAGCAACGCTGGGGGCAAGGCCGGGCTTGGGGTGCTGCCCACTGCCATTTGCAATCATTGGCCCAGGAAGCACAGATGTCTGGGTCTGAGACAAGGAGGGACTCTGGAAGGGATCCAGTTTCTACTCCCCTCCTCCAGCCACACAAGGCAGCAGGAGTGGGACTGTAGCAGAACAGGAGAGGTGAGAAGATACGGTCCTGGGATGAGCAGATGGCCTTGGGACACTGAGCCCACACCAAGCCATCAGCCACCTTCTCTCTTTCCCCCACGCCTGGGCTAGGTGATATACCATCAGCATCCCTGCCCCGGCAGATGGCCTTGGGACACTGAGCCCACACCAAGCCATCAGCCACCTTCTCTCTTTCCCCCATGCCTGGGCTAGGTGATATACCATCAGCATCCCTGCCCCGCCTGTGTCCTGTTGTCTAACCTGGTCAGGGTCCCTCTGTGCTGGCTTAGGAAAGCCAGCGCTGTCTCCCCCAGGGCAAGAGGGCTGCCTGGCAAGGCAGGACTCAGGCAAAGCTGGCCTCGCTCATTTGGAGCCCAGAGGAAGCCCTCTCACCCACTAGGCCCCCTGTGCTCTGACCTTAGGCCCTGCCACTATGGCACCAAGCCAGGCCGAGGAGGGAGCTGGCCAGTCCTTTGCCTCCTCTGACCCTTTCCAGTTGAATACAAAACACATCCCGTGTGTCCAGCTCAGTCCTCTGCCCCTTGAGACTACCCCCTGGCAGGCTCCCAAGAGGCCAAGTCTATACCTAGCGTGGCTCCCCACCTCCCATCACTGGTGCCACCTGCACGGGAGTGAGGGTATGTCAGCCAGAGTCAGCCATGGCTCAGAAATGCAGGAAGACCTTCTTGTAGATTCCAGGTGGTGTGGGGGGATCTTGTCTAGGGCATTTCGATGTTGTGGATTATCCACCATTGTGTATTGTTCACACGTATGAGTTGTCCATTTTTTCACATTAAACTCGCCTCCTCACAAACACACACATGCGCGTGCGTGTGCGCACGCATTTCTAATCTGCACTGCTGCTTCTCCTTCGCTGAGGGCTGGCTTTACCTTATGAGCTGAGCTGAAACGCACTCTTTGGCTGGTCTGCCTTTACTGCCCGACACTGAAGTCTTTCTTTCTCCTGCCTCTCACCCGTCTCTCTCCGTGTCCTGTCGCCATCTCTCCTCTCCTCTTGGGCCTCCAGCAGCTGCCTACCCTGCTGCCTATGGTCAGATAAGCCAGGCCTTTCCTCAGCCTCCTCCGATGATCCCCCAGCAACAGAGAGAAGGTGAGTCTGCAGCCGGGGCTCCTGGGCCCTCCCCTCCCCCTGTTCTCCCCCGAGAGGCTGCTCACCTGGGCCTTTGGTTAGTTGCTGCATTGGAAATGTGACTTCATTGATGTGCTGTGTCGAGGTGGGTGAGGGAAGATACAAGGCCATGAGATGTGGCACTCTCTGATCCAGGCACAGAGGTGTGCTGCTTGTGGGCAGCTCTGCACACCAGAGTGCCACCTGGCCCAGGGCAGGGGACTGGATGGAATGCCCTGAGGGCCAGCAGGCCACACACACGCACCTTTCCCATGCCCCTCTATCATTTGCACTGGTCTGACAGCTCACATACCAATATCTTGGTCTAGAAAAAACCAATTCCTCAAGCATGGCTGGGCGTGTGTTCCTTCCTTGTCAAGCCTGTGCACCAGTGCTTAGACAGAACCCAGAAGAGGTTAGGTATGTGTTTGCCAGTAGAGGCCTCATCCCTGCCACAGGGAGTTCCTAGTCTTGGGGAAGAGATAGAGGCCTGTCCTTGGGGTCTTCATCTGAGGTCCCACCACTGTGTTCCCAGGGAGCTGATGACCTAGCTGGGAGATGAGACTCCAAAATTGTGGGACATCGAGATGCTTTGGGCACTGAGGAGGAGATGATGAGAGCCTGGGGTGGTCAGGTAGGGGAGGCCCTGGAGGAGGAGGGTCCCAGGGCAGGATCTGGCTAGTAGGGAAGATGGGGAGATGTGGAAGTGCTCATGGCTGGGGAGTGGGGAGGGGAGACTCACTCATCATAGACAAGAGAAGTTGTGCCCTCTGGGCGACCAGGAGAGACAGGTGGAGCCACAGGGCAGGATGAGGTAAGGGGATGGGAGTGCCCCATGCAGGACTGGTGGAGGAAGGGGATCCTGGAAAGCCACAGCCAGAGGCCCTAGACGAGCAGGGCAGGGCAGGCAAAATCAGTGGCTAGGGTGGCAGGGTCCGCATAGCAAGCTCAGTGTTCTCTCATCCCAGTGCCTAGAGACCCATGGAAGTGGGAAGGTGGAAAACTGGATAAACAAGCCCTCTTTGGGGATTCCCTGAGCCTGGCCACAGACAGTACAGCTTGAGGGACAAGAAAACTAACAAGGCCCTGTCCTCTCCACCCCCAGAGAAGGGTCACCCTGGCAGCAAGGCCACCAAATCTGCCCCCAGCAACCCACAGGGTCAGAGAGTTCCAGTGGTATCCAGATACCCAATTCATAGCCCCTGCAGCAGACTGTCCTAGAACTGGGGTGATGTAGTTTAGTCCTGGAAAGGACCCTGGGGGGTCTGCTGGCCCAAACTCTTTTGGTCAGACAGGCCTGAACAGCCCCTAGAGCCTGACTGTTGAGAGTCTGGGCTTTGAACAAACCCTCTGGGTCTCATTCCTGTTCTGTCACCTCTTCCCCATGTGCCCTGGACAAATCAACCCACCCCTCAGCCTCAGGTCCTCATGGGTAACGTGAGGATAGTGCAGACCATTCCCTAGAGGGCTGTGAAGGTCACACTCGCCGAGTCTGCCCTCTGGACTCCATTTGGTGAGAATCTGTGCACACAGCCCTTCCTTCAGCAAATCGTCACCCCCTGCAAAGCTGCACATGAGGCAGATCACCTCTGCTAACACGTACTAGGCAGCTCCTGAGATCAGATCTCCCCAGCCAAGAAGAGCCAAGCTACAGGAACTCAGATGGGTGCACAGTACCCTGCCATCACATCCACTGCAGCTGGGTGACACCTGGTCTCACCATCGGTGAGGTGGGAGTTGGAGTGATTCACCAGCCCTGCCTTCACCTGAGAGTCCCTCACTGGACTGCAGCCCTGAGGCCTGTCCTGCCCTTTCCTCCCCCTGCCCCCCAGTCCAAGCCTTCAGCAGTCAGATTAGAGCCACAGGGGTAGGGTCCAGGAATCCCAGTGTTGCCTGGTCCAGGCCCAGAACAGAGAGCTGTGCCCACAGGCCCCACTACTTTTTCACCCCACTGGCTTCAGGCTATAGTCAGCTCCCTGCATCACTTTGGCCTGCGGGCTTAGGGGTCTCTAAACTCTGCTACACACACACATATGCATGCATGCATGCACAGGCAGCTGCAGGGCAGTGCCACCCTGACCAACACGCATGACGGCCCCTACCACTAGCCTTAAACAAACACAGACCCCCATCTGCCTTCCTCTCACTCCCCGCCTCACCCTCTGCAGCACCCCATGCATCTAGCTCTGAACCCCTTTGCAGACCTTCTCTCCATTTCTGAGCAGCTTCAGCCCCCCTCCACACACATGCCCTGCTCCCTAGACCAGGCCCTGTGGCCGGTCTCCATTCCAGCCTCTCCTCACTCGGGGACATCTCCATGGTTGTCCCGTTCATCCTGGCCATGGTGCACAGGTTGAGCACCCCCACCCAGGGGGGAGGGGATGGGAAGGGTAAGACATGAACCCAGATACCAACAGAACTGTGCTGTGCGTTAACATGAGTGGGACCACAGCACTGGGAGTGGGTTGCCAGGGATGGCTTCGGTGGGCCTGGAGGGATGAGGAGGTCCTCAGCACATGGTGGGGGGTGGGGGGTGGCCATCCAGGCAGGGGGATAGCAGGAGCAAAGGTTTGGATGCTGTGAAGTGTGAGGTGAGCCTGAGGCTGAAAGGTGGGTTGGAGCCAGACCAGAGCCATGTCCCACAGTGTCCATGAGGCAAGGATGAGACAGAAAGCTGTGTTCCTCCAGCCCTGTCAATAGTTGGCCTCTGCATCATGGGCACCTCCCCCATGGAATGCCACTGAAATACCAGGACACACTGGTTGCTGGGGAGGACCCTCCTGCAAGCTCCTTGTCTTTGAGCTGAGCCTGAAAACCTACAGATGCCTGAGTCCCTGGAGGGACCACATTACCCTCGGGGATGGCTGCCGCAGCAGCTCTGCCAGAGGCTGTGGTGTGGTCAGGGGAGTCACTTTCTGTCTCTGAAGCTCCATTTCACCATTCTCCGAGGCTAGGCTGGACCAGATTGATGTCTAAAGTTCTGCTGGTTCTGCCATCTGGATGTTCTGTAATCTGTGAATGAGGGAATGCAGAAAGGGCTTGGGGGTAGCTGGAGTTAGACAGTGTGTGGGCTCACTGTGAGGACAAGGGGCTGGAACCACTGCCCTGACATCCTGGTCAGGCTGGGGTTGGAGAGTGTCACTGGGGGCTCAGCCATACCATGCAGATGGGACTGAGTCTGTGAAGGAAGACCCCTTGTCTCCTTAAGGAGAACAGACATAGCATCCTCATGAAACAGCTTGCAGAGCTTGAACTTGGAGCGAGGGCCCCCAAGTCCAAGACAGGTGTCAGTATGGGATGGAGCAGTCAGGGAAAGCTGGAAGGGTGAGGATGGGAGCAGGAGGGAGAGGGGGCAGCCAGGAGGACAGCAGAAGGCGAGTGCCCCTGCCCCCGGGGAGTGGGGAGCAGCCAATCTGGTTGGAGAGCAAAACCTTCCAGACACAAAGGAGAAAGAATCAACCCACAGGGGCACCAGAAGGGGGGGGCAGAGGTACTTTGGGGGAGAAAGGGTGTGGGGAGCTGGGGAGTGTGAAGGGCACATTCAGAGGGCAGGAAACAGTGAGAACATGGCATGATTGGAGGGGCTGGGGTGAGGGGAGGGCCACCAGAGCTGGGGGGACCCAGCACCGGGCCCCCCTGGGAGTGGGTGAGGGAGCACACTTGCGCCTGGTTCTGAACGCGCCGTCCACAGGCAGAGCACCTGGGAGACAGCAGTCCACGCAGGGGAGCCCGGGAGGCCGGGCATAGAGGACTGAGGAGGTCAGCAGCTCCAAAGGTGGCTGTGGTGGTCTTCACCATAGGCTATGGGCCACAAGGGGGTGGAAATAGATGGAGAGAGGAAGGAGGGGAATGGAGGGGGAGAGAAGAGAAAGAAGGGAAGGGGCAGAGGGACTCCAGAGCAAGCTCTTTTCTACAGAACTGGGTTATCTGGCAGCCTAACTGATCCCAGGGAGCCAGGACACTGGGCCTGGCCATGAAAGCCATGGAGCAGCCCACGTGGGTGCCTTCAGCCTTCACTTTTCAGCTCCTGCTTAGGTTTCCACCAGACTCCGATGAGAACTCGGTTCTTAACATCTCTAACAAGGGCAGCTATTTCCTTCCCATCCCTACCACAGATGGACACCATCAATAAAAAGACCACAAGTCATTTTAAAAGATTGTTATACATGGCATACTCTATCTAAGATGGCAGGAAATAGACCCTGCGTCTTGGAAAGGTATCCACTGCAAAGAGTTAAAATTGAGCATTTTGATTATTTAAAGGAAACATGTAAATCTTTAGCTATCTGAAAATTTCAGAAAACCAAAAATCAACAGTGTCCAGCAAGTCTGGGGGGTTGAGGTTTATGATAGTAAGGTAGAGAGAGAAGAGCACACACTAGCGAGACAAGTGGCCTAGGTTCATGTCCTGGTTGCACCCCACCCCCAGCTGTGTGTCTTTTGGCGGGTGACCTAACCTCTCTGGGCCTCCAGTTTGCTCATCTGTGAAGTGGCAATGACAACAGTAGTTAAGTCGCAGGGTTGTTGTGAGGATGAAGTGAGTTAACATGAAGTGCTTCGGGCAGCCTGACATGAGCCGCTCATGCTGTAGAAGTGGCAGGCCTGTTGTCATGAAATGTAGAACCTTCATGTACTGAGGCTCGAGGCAGTCCGACGAATTGTGGAGCCTCGGTGTAAAGCCTCCCTGCACCTGGCTCCCTGAGTGTGAGGTACGGGGAAGGGCCATCAGGCCAACAGAGGCACATGAGAAGGAGTGAGGGCAGGCAGGGAGGAGGATGGGAAGAGCCTGCACCCCATGGCCACTTCAGGCCCTGGAGTCTGAGTGGGGCCTGAGGGAGGNAGTTTGCTCATCTGTGAAGTGGCAATGACAACTGTAGTTAAGTCGCAGGGTTGTTGTGAGGATGAAGTGAGTTAACATGAAGTGCTTCGGGCAGCCTGACATGAGCCGCTCATGCTGTAGAAGTGGCAGGCCTGTTGTCATGAAATGTAGAACCTTCATGTACTGAGGCTCGAGGCAGTCCGACGAATTGTGGAGCCTCGGTGTAAAGCCTCCCTGCACCTGGCTCCCTGAGTGTGAGGTACGGGGAAGGGCCATCAGGCCAACAGAGGCACATGAGAAGGAGTGAGGGCAGGCAGGGAGGAGGATGGGAAGAGCCTGCACCCCATGGCCACTTCAGGCCCTGGAGTCTGAGTGGGGCCTGAGGGAGGCAGAAGCAGTGGACATGGCTGCCCCAGGGCGATGTCCACCCTCCTCAGAGCAGGGCTGGCAGGAGGGAGGCCCTCCCAGATCTCCCCGCCCCTCCCTCTCCTCGGCATCTCATTCGAGGGACGCGGCTGATCAGGCTTTGGCATGTTCACCCCATTCTCTCATAGACTCTGTCCCTGGAGCCCCAGAGGTGCCAGGTCCCCTACTACTGATCCATTTTGCAGAAAAGGCAACTGAGGCACAGAGAGCTTCAGTGACTTACCCAATACCAGAGTGGAGACCAGAGCTCAGACCTCAGACTCTTCCGGGGCTGCCCTTGGATCCTGAATGAGACACTCCCCTCCTAACCTCGCCCCCACCCCTCCCTGCTGCGCTGCCTAACTCGCTCACCTCTCCTCTGTCTCTCTCTTCTCCCACCCTGCCATCCCTCCTCCCTGCCCACCCCCTCCCCTCACGCAGGGCCCGAGGGCTGTAACCTGTTCATCTACCATCTGCCCCAGGAGTTTGGGGACGCTGAGCTGATGCAGATGTTCCTCCCTTTCGGTAATGTCATCTCCTCGAAAGTGTTTGTGGATCGGGCGACTAACCAAAGTAAATGCTTTGGTGGGTAAAGATAACAAACCAATTAGCTTCACCTAGGACAGGGTGGTGCTTGCACCAACTTATGGTGTCCAGCTGCTTTAACCTGCTCCTTCACCTCCCCCCAGTGCCCCCTGGAGCCCAGCCCCAGCTCCATCTCTCCCCCTCTTCTCTCTTCTACTGTTCTTTCTGCTTCTTGGCTTTCCCCGTCCAACCCCACCTGGCTCCCCACCTCCCAAGTCCCAGTCCAAGACATTGGTTTCCTCTTGCAGCCAAAAGGCCCGCTTCCAACCGACTGAGAAAGGGAAGGGGCCACTTTGGGCAGGGGTGGGAAGGCAGCAGGCAGAGCCCAGCACCATCTGCTCTCCCAGCAGCCGCCGTGCTCTTCTGCCTTGGGCACAACTGCCGCCCGAGCCCTGGGGTAAAAGCTGCACAGGATCCCTGGGTGGGGCAGACAGCCCAGCCAAGACTCCTATCCAGCCTGCCCCTCAGCCTCCTCTCTCCACCTTTCTGTCCTGCCCCTCTCCTCTGTCTACCCTGCTCTTTGCTCCCCTCCTGCCATCCAATGAACCCTCCTACCCCCTGCCCCCCAAGACCACCAGAGCTGGGCATGGTTGAGGAGCCAGGAAGAGGAGACTGGTCCCTGCCCTCAGGAAGCCTCAGCTCTGAACATAGATGAAAATCACATCTCAGCCACAGTGAAATCTGCGAGGCACCAAACAAGGAAGTTATAAGAAAGCAGATGAATGTAAACAGACGTATAGGAAGGGAGGGAATTCCAGCAGGGAGACTAGAATGAACAGGCAGGGGGCTGGGATGAGGAGCGTCAAAGGACAGTGAACAACCAGGGAGGAGGCTTTGGAGAATGGAGGGCTCAGGGGAGACCAGTGGTGAGGGAGGAGCCATGCTGGGGAGGGCTTTGACCACTCCGATGAAGATGCTTCATTTGGTGTGGCGGGCAGTGGAAGATGGTGGGAGGTGCTTGAGCTGAGAGGAATACAGTAAAAAATACAGCTTTCAGGAAATTGGCCTCATGGCAGGGTGTTGGATGGGAGAGGGAAGACTTGGGAGGATCCGGGAGTATGGTTGTCAGCTAAAATATAGGATGCCGAGTCGCATTTGAATTTCAGATCTGCAATGGATACTTTCTTAGTACAGGTATATCCCAAACATTGGAATATACTTATATATAAAAAAGTATTCCTTGTTGATCTGAAATGCAAATTTAACTGGGCATTCTGTGTTTTTATTTGCTAAATCTGGACAACCCTCTCTAGGATGCTTCAGAGCATCCTGGAATCCCAGGGTGTCTTCAGAGGTTCCTCCTGGAATCCCACCATATCCCCCCTACCTCTTCCCTCCACGCCTCCTTGGTCCCTTACCCAGCCTCCTCTTCTGCCTTCACCCATCCTTCCTTCTAGGGCCAGAGCCACTCATGAGTCCCTGAGGACTAAGGAGTCCAGTCCCCAGAGAGCCATATATGGAACCAGAGCTAAGTCTGCCAGAAGTTCAGTATCTTCAGGTTGACCCCCACCTTGTGGGGCTGTGAGGAGAGAGAGGGAGCCTGTGTTGCCAGGGAAGCTGGTCACGGCCTGGGGGTGGTGGAGGGGAGATGGTACAAGCATGGAGAAGCATCCCATAGACCATCTCATGGGACATAAAGCACACATTAAGGAGATTCCTGTTTGGAGACTGACCTTCCAGAACCACGAAGGGGATTCAGAGTATGTTGCCCAAAGCAATTCTCTGTACAATTGTCCCCTCCCTTCTGGCAGCCGCCACAGGAAACCTGTGGTCCTTCAGTGGCACAGTGTTGCCTCGGCAGCTCATTTCTCTTCGGGTCTGAAAAACAAAGCAAAAGAAAGAGAGAGGTTTGCACCCTTCCACTGTCTGACTGCTATTTCTTCTTATGAATTACAATCATGTATGTAAAAACAGCAAGCTGGAAATTAGCTACATTTGCTGTCTACATAAATCTGAAATGTTATATAAATGAGAAGAAAACTGCTAATAGCCCAGGAAGCTGTGGAGCACCTGGGCCAGAACAGACTTAGTTTCCAGCCATATCCAGCCTCTTTAAGCCACTTACGTTCAAAACCAAGGGTTTTTCCTGCTTTTTATAGAAATCATCCTCTATATACCTCTACTCTAGCTCTCTCCTCTCTTCGAGAACAAACTTCTAACACTAAACATCTACTGGCCTTGAAAAAGGACAGGTTCCTCTGTGCTGGTGCAGCCCAGCTGTGCTTCGTTAAGCAATTTGGGTTCTCTCTCTCACTCTGGCAGCTGAGCCTTCTGCACCTCCCAGAGACCTTTGGTGTGAGACCTAACTCCAGTGCTCACTCATGAGCAAGTCATTTAACCCTCTGAGCCTCATTTGTGAAATGGGGACTTTAGCAGTCATCCCTCAGGGGTGCTGTGAGGGTCCCATGAGATGGTCTATGGGAGGGACTTGGCCAGAGCTGACCCTCAGGAAGCCTCCGGTATCTTTTGTTCTGAAAGGTGGTGCTCTTTTTGCCATAAAGGTAGTCCTGTGCTAGAGCAAATTCCTCAGAGGCTGCACTCACTCTTTATAAGCATAAGCATAAATTTATAAGCAGAATCTTCCAAAAGCCTTCTTGAGAATATGTCCAGCACAAACGGTCTCTATGTTGGAAGGAGGGCTGAGGAGATACCAGGAGGGCATCCTACCTGTGGAGCTTCCCACAGGGCCTGGGAGGCAGGAACTTTCCCAGGAGTTGGATGAGAATGGGGAAGAGAGCTCTGGGAGAAGGAAGATAGTCCCAAGAACCAGGAACATGGGAGATGGTGCCCAGGATCCTGTCCACAGGGAGCTCCAGTTGAGGAATAGTTTCCTTGAGTCTGGACCTCTTCCCAACTCTTCCAGAGACCTCTAAACTTGCCCAGGGAGGCAGAGCTGTTTATCTCCTCCAGAACCTCCTTTCTGTCCTCCGCATCTGTTGGCTATACCTCCTATTTCACCTCCGCCCTAGATGGCCCCTTTATCTTTCTCCCTTCTCTTTCCTGCTTTGCTCACATTTTGTTTCTTGCAAAGAGAGCCACCCATCTGAGGTAGAGCCAGTGGTACTGTGGGTGAGTGGAAGAATGAGGGGTGCAGCATGTCACCCACAGTCAGGCTGCCTTGTCCTGGCAGGGACAAGCTTAATCTGGAGCCAGGGGGTGGGGGAAAGCAGTATAAACAGACACGCAATTCACACATTTGGAAACTGCTCTAGTCTCCTAAGGACTTTAGTCATCAGACATACAGGCCGGTGGAGGGTGGACAGGCCAGGAGGGAATGCCTCCCCCATCTTTGATAGCACGTGCTGCATGACCAAACTTGAACAAAGTAGGAAGGAGGTGAGAGAAAGAGAAAAGAGGCCTATGGAGGCAGTGTCTGGGGCAGAGGTAGAAAGGGAGAAGGAGCCACTACGTGGGGAAAGCTGTGGAAGGGGGTGCTCTCTTTGAGTAGAGAAGTCGCAGGCAGGTCCAAGGTACTATGGACAATTAACTAATGAAATAGTTTCTGTTTCACATAGGGTCTGGCTTGTACATATAATTGCCATGTGGAGACAAGCACCCTAGTCGGTTCATGGGATGGCTTGGGTATCTTACCAAGCTGAATTTCATATATTTTGCGCAATGTTAGTCCATTTTACAGGAGAAAAAGCCTCTAAAATCAAATAAACTTAAGGAAATACTAGATTAAACAAAGCTATAAAGGTTTATTTACTGGAGAACTTAGGACAGCCGGGGAATGTTTTTACTCGTTAATGTGCCTCACTGGCCCTGAGGGGCTTGGCTATAAATTTACTTGACCACAGAGGCCCTATTCCTCAAGGAGCACCTATGAGGGCCAGTTTGGGAAACACTGATGTAAAGTGCTGTCTCTATAAGGAGATGCATTCAAAGTTCCCAAAAGGTGACCTCTGAACTCATTTTTGGAACATGACCCATCCCCAGCTGGGAACTGCTTGTTTGGTACTGGACTGGGAGCCCAGGATGGTTCTGTATCCCTCCGGGATGTCGAGGTATAGGCGTGTGAAAAGCACTTCTGCAGTCGCTGGCGCACTGAAGGCTCTCAACCAGTTTTTACTAATGGTGTTAGTTTTTACTCTTGCAGTTGTTACAGATCTCACGAGGGGTTCACGGGGACACATCAATTGGTACCAGCTTAGTCCAGGGAAAGAGCACCAGCTCCCAGGGCTTGGAACTCTACACGAGTCGATGAGCGGTGCCGACAGCCCCTGGGTGCGACGTGGTGGGGTAACGCGATCGGCCTGGTCTCAGCCCGGCCGGGGCGTCTCGGAAGCCGGGGGTGGGGGTG